TTGACCCGGAGCTTCACGCTATCAAACACATGTTTGACTGGACTGAGTGACCAGCTGAGGTAACAGATGTGAGGTTTCTAGTGAGATGCTGGACAGAGTCCATAGACATTCAACAAAAGGACAGATTTTATTTTTAATTTTCTGTCCCAGAAAAATGAACTACTATATGCTAATGGGAAAAACTCACCTTAATTCTGCCTTAATTAAAAGTTGTAAATTCATCTCCAGAGAAAATGCTGTGATGTCTTGTGAGATTAGTGGTGAAAAATGAACTACTATATGCTAATGGGAAAAACTCACCTTAATTCTGCTTTAATTAAAAGTTGTAAATTCATCTCCAGAGAAAATGCTGTGATGTCTTGTGAGATTAGTGGATCTACTAAAGATAATTTACAAGATCACACAGACTGGCTGCCAGACAAGTTCCCGTAATTGATCAGGAACCCAAATGTCAGAGACCCAGGATCCCAATCCTTCTGGGTGTTTTTATCTCACATGAAGGGGCTACAAGTGTAGGTTCAGGTTACATGAACTAGAAACACTGTTTTCAGGACAGAGGCAGTGAAATGGAAAGTTTAATAAGTTAGTGTTTTGATCATTTTACTGACTCCAATGTATCTTAGCAATTCAATACTCTGTTTTAGCTGTGTTCTGTGCCTCACTTTCCCTATCTGCAAAATGGTGATAACAGTACCTATCTCATAGAAGTGTTATAAGAATCAAAAGAATTTATTTATAAAGTACTTAGAACCCTGCCCAGGACACAGTACTACGTGTTTCTTAAATAAATAAATGGATGTGCTTAAATGAATGAATGAATAAATAAATAAATGAATGAATGAATAAATAAATGGATATAAGCACATCCATTTATATATTTTACAAGCAAAATTCTAATTTTTTTCAAAATTCTAACTTACTTAAAATTATATTATTTGCACACTTGTAAGTATGGGAAATATATACTTATGGAGTATACTTCAGGAAGATTAAATATTGCCTTATGATTAAAATTTGAAATCACAATGAAAATGCATAGATCTGATTAAAATGATACTACAGTCTTTTTGGCCCTAGAAATAGGTTAAAAATTATTTAAGTCCACCATGTTTTTAATCTCATGGTTACTGATATCAGCAACTAAGCTCATACATTGCCTAAAGAAATACAAGAGTAATGCAGTGATCAGATTTTTCTTTTTCTTTCTTTAAGAAAAGTTTTCCTTTTTCTCTACTCTGCTACTTTTAAGTCTTGGAACTAGTGGTCAATCATTCTGGAGGGTGTCCTTGGCACACAACATTTTCCCCTGACCCTTGGTCTGGGTTTCTAGGTGAGTGACAGCTTTCCACAGCAGTACTCAGCTCAAACCTCCATCTTGAAGTATACATCCAAAGCATTCAAAAAAAAAAAAGAGCATTTGCTCTGAGAAATTTTAGGCAACCCCAGGGAGGAGTGGAAGAGTGGAATGCTGACAATGTAATAAGGACAGGACACAGAAGAAATACACATGAACTGAAATGCTGCTTTCCAATCTAGAGGTTCTCTTTCATGTTTCATTTTGGCATTACTTTTCTTTCAGTAGAGCTACCATAATGTTTCCTGGTGATAGATATTAAGACATTTGTTTCTTTTCCTTGCATGCTGTTTTATGAAACAGACTTTGAGGAGAGGAGATCAGGATAAGATGGACCATTTCTAGCCACGATGGAGCTCCTTCCTCTCCCCTCCTGATACCTACAACCCCAAGCAAAGCCTTTAAACCCTGCTCTCTGTATAAACCCCACTCCCAGCTCAGAAAGCCTTTCCTTGTGGCCTATCCTGTCAGGCCCAGGGAGCTGGGGAAGGACACTGGGGGTCGGAGGGGACAGAAGTGAGCACGTGCTTCAGCTACTCAGGTGGAGCCTGAACTACGGTTCTACCCTACAGAAACATTTTTTTTTTTTTTAAAGATGACCGGTAAGGGGATCTTAACCCTTGACTTGGTGTTGTCAGCACCACGCTCTCCCAAGTGAGCCACGGGCCGGCCCTTACAGAAACATTTTAAAAGTTGGTTAAGTTTCCTAATACCAAAATTATAGAGCAGCTACACTGAGATTTACATAGGCTTCTGTGCATTAAACCAGGGATCTAACATCATATTATTGTTTCTATGGAAAAATGAAATTTTATTCCAAATACCTGACCTCAAATGAACTTTTACAACATAACTTGAGTGGGGGATTGTTCTACATACACCCACACACTCAGGGACAGTTCCTCTGTCAATCATGCTGTGCATCTGTCTGTCTATCCATCCACACTGTCTTTTTATTAAGGTACAGAATAATTGCCAAAAAAATGTGAAAAGCAAAAAGCTAAGATTTAAAGTTAAACATTTATATTTATTGAGTCCAAAGAAATGCTTCTGTTGTAAATTCATCTTCAGTATTTAAAATGATCTGCTTTTTATAGTGAGAGTAGGAGGCCCGGTGGTATCAAACACAGTACATGAGTTTTGTGGTTGTAAACTGAATCTCACGTGGAGCTACTTCACTTTTCCAAACCTCAATTTCCTTATCTGTAAACAGGGATGATTATATTAACATTCTAGGACTATTTTTTTAAAGTGAGATAATGTAAATGTCTGGCATTAAATCTGGCATATAGTGGTTATTCCCATCCTTTCTTCCTGTTACTTAACCTCTTTGGAAGTTACTGTGTTTCACTTCAATAAAAATATTTTTAAGCCACATTTAATTTTCAGAAGTCTTGATTTAAATTTTTCTCTATGCTTGGGTACCCATCCATCTATCTGCCTGACTTATATAGGTTAATGTCCAAATTAGACTAATCTGGATGAATTATTAATTCATAAATCAGTTCAAAGAACTTACTTATGTTGACAGTTATAATCATTTCTTGTACTAACTCACCTATGCCCACTCCCCAAAAATGTGTGATTTCATAAGACTTTGTGGACTTCATATTTTTTCTTTTTTGAGGAGGGATTCAGACAACCAAGATCTCCTTTGTGACAACAGTTAGCAAAATCAGTTTTTACTTAAATGAATAAATGAGCTCAATCAAGAACAAGCCAGATTTGATTTCATATAGGCTTGTTAAGTGCTCCTTCCTAGTCCCTATTAGGCCCATCTCACCACAGAATCAGCAGCAAGGGTGGGAGTGACACTCTGCAATGACAGCAAATGCACATGAACGGTGGGAAGAGGCCTGCTGTTCACCTGGGTCCTGGCCGGCCTCAGAGGAGCAGGGTCCAGTGTGCCGCTGGGTGTGTCTACGACTCCACCCCTGTCCTCTCTCACCGCTCCCCATTCCTGGTACCTGCCCTCGCACTGGCTGATCTGCCTGCAGACCTGCCTGGTGGTTGGAATTTGACAATTGCTCTTTCTTCATCCGATGGTGTTGTAATCCTCAAGTTTTTTCTGGCAGCCCTGTGACTACTTGAGATCAGGTCCTGCCTGCCAAGCTTGATCTCAGAGTAACAAACATACTCTTCCTGTCATGAGAAAACCTGAAGGCCAGGGAGGCGACAGCAAATGCACATGAACGGTGGGAAGAGGCCTGCTGTCCACCTGGGTCCTGGCCGGCCTCAGAGGAGCAGGGTCCAGTGTGCCGCTGGGTGTGTCTACGACTCCACCCCTGTCCTCTCTCACCGCTCCCCATTCCTGGTACCTGCCCTCGCACTGGCTGATCTGCCTGCAGACCTGCCTGGTGGTTGGAATTTGACAATTGCTCTTTCTTCATCCGATGGTGTTGTAATCCTCAAGTTTTTTCTGGCAGCCCTGTGACTACTTGAGATCAGGTCCTGCCTGCCAAGCTTGATCTCAGAGTAACAAACATACTCTTCCTGTCATGAGAAAACCTGAAGGCCAGGGAGGTTTATTATAATTCATAGCCCCCACCCCCAGAAAAAAAAATCACACATATAAATCCATATTCTAACATGTTATTCCCTTTAGTTAATAAAAAGATCAGAAAGCTTTCTTTGTTTTCAACTCAAATGTAGGGTGTTTTTTGTTTTCCCCTCTTATAAAAGATGTGTTTTTAATGTGCGATCACCACACAGCCAAAGCCTGGAGACATCCAGACATCCTGCATTTACTGCGTGTTGTTATATCCAGTTCATTCAGATGGTTTAATGTGAAGCTCAGATGCCTGGTTCTACATTAATCTTCAGGAGTGATGATTTTACTTTTGTGGTGCAGAAGTAAGGCCAAATAAGTAGGAAAAAGTAGACCTATAAAAATGGTAAGTCTTTAACTTACTAATCCACTACATCTTTGACAGCAATTTTAGATTAAAATGGAGTGTAACAATAACCTGCAGACCAAAATTGAGATTTTTTAAGACTTTTCTTGCTATACTGCAGTTATAGTATCAATAAGTTATTTTTAAATTCTCTAGCATAGATAATACAGTTCATAATATGTGTGTGTAAATTAATTTTATACTATATACTAGGTGTCAGATAATATTTGAATTTCCTTATTCAGTAGCCCTACTCTAAGGATTGGGATTACTGTCCTTATAAAAGAGGCCCCAGAGAGATCCCTCACCTCCTGCCACCATATGAGGTTTATATTGGAAAGTTAGTGGTCTATGAACCAGGAAGTGAGCCTTTACCAGACACCAAATCTGTTGCATTGATCTTGAACTTCTCAGTCTCCAGAACTGTGAGAAATAAATTTCTGTTGTTTATAAGCCACCCAGTTTATGATATTTTGCTATAACAGCCTGAACAAAGACATACACACAGGTTTAAGCAATCATATTTTGAAAGTTTGCTTTTTAAAGGATTACCATCAGCCTCATTCTCCCAAACTCCTGAGAACACATAATTTCTACTCAGGTCAATAAGGAACTGTTTCCTCATTTGAAATGGCCTTTTGCCTCTGGGGTTGGAAGAATGGGGTTCTCCTCATTCTTGGGGTGAATGTTGATAGTTTAAAAAATTTTGACTAATATTTCAATTGTCAATAGTTGAGAAATATACCTTGTAATGTTCTCACAGAAGGAAATGTAAAGCCACTTCTGCTTGTGAATCACCAGACTTGAAACTCCAAGAGAACTGGGCCGGTATCAGTTTGTTCCTTACAGAGTGTCTCCAGAGCCTGACACCCACAGGTGCTCCATAAATGTTTGCTGAATGGAGGTTGGGAGAGGAATCATGGATTTCTCTTTAAGCCGAGGACCTTGCTGAGGTACCCCATGGTCCTGGACTAGCCAGCCCACACACTTTGATACTGTATCATGCACTCTACAAATCCAGAAATCATGAAGAAGGATATCCAGAAAAGGCAGCCTGGTGTAGCAGAACAAGCCCAGAACCAGACACAGGTGCCCTGGCATCCAGCTCTAGCCTGCTATTATTCAGCAATGTGACTGCAGGCCCATTAGTGTCTGGATTTCATTTTTGTCACACAAAATGAAGCACTGAACTACATCATCACTAAGGTCCTTCCACATTAAGACTGTAATTATATTTAGTGATACGAGAATGGTAAGTCTGCTATACTAGCTTTATAAAAAAGCAGCAAATCAATGGTTAACTATATACTGCATTCTTTCTTCAAAATGTAGCCATGTATCAAACCAAAAACAATTAAGCTGTTTTATAATAAAAAGAGATTATGTTAATATCGCCTACCTGGCTCAGCCCCAAATCATCCATCAGTATTCTGCTTTGCTCCAACTCACTGTCATGATGTTGATGCAAAAATAAGCTTGATATAGGAGTCGACGCAGAACAAATTATGCGCACCTGAAATAGAGAAGATGAGTAAATGGTTACACTTTACATTTCACAAGTTGAAGGTAAAATCTCTCACAAAATAAAAATCTGTTTCTTACATCAGGGAGCTTGGACCTTCGCTTTTTAAATGTTCAAACTTTTTTCTAATAGTTTGTTTCTTTAAAGTGATATTTTAAAACTGCATAGTACTTTTCAAAACAATTCCACACGGCTTATACTACCCTGTAAAGCAGGGAGCAAGGTTTTATTGGGAAACTTCAGGCCTGGAGAGGTCTCACCTCATGAAGTTGGCCCAGATCTTCCAGTTCTAAGTCCAGTGCTCTTTCCATTACTGCTGTGATTTAAATATTTCGGGAAACTTCAGGCCTGGAGAGGTCTCACCTCATGAAGTCGGCCCAGATCTTCCAGTTCTAAGTCCAGTGCTCTTTCCATTACTGCTGTGATTTAAATATTTTTGTCCCCTCCAGAATTCACATTCAAACTTAATTCCTAATGCAAAAGTATTAAGAGGTGTGGCCTTGAGGAGGTGACTGAGTCAAGAGGGCTGTGTCCTCGTGAATGGAATTAGGTGGCCTTAAAAAAGGGCCTGACAGAGGGAGTTCGTCCTTTTGCCTTCCATCTGTTCTGCTATGTGAGGACACAGCATTTGCCACTATGGAGGACACAACAACAAGGCACCATCTTGAAGCAGAGAGCAGCCCTCACCAAACAGCCAAACCTGCTGGCCCCTGGATCTCAGACTTCCCGGCCTACAGAACTGTGAGAAATAACTTTCTATTATTTATAAATAGCCCAGTTTGTGGTATTTTGTTATAACAGCACAAACAAAGACAATTACACTCCCATGATGACATTTAAACCTTGCTGTTTGGAGTTGGTCTCTGTGTGTATCAAAGATGCTCCCCAGATGCACAGTAAAGAGGTTACCACTTTGCTGCATGGCTGATTGCTAGGTTCAGTGCATGCTACTGTATTATATCCTGAGCTTCCAGAACCTACACTTATATCAGCATCCTGCCAGACAATCTTCAAAAAGACCTAGCTTTACATTAATGTCTCTTGATTACATAAGTATCTGAGTGTGCATATGTGATCATATATTGGAAACAGCTTTTATATATTTTGTACATTTTATGTCCACTAGTTTAAATACAAAATACTCTTCTTGATGTTTAAAGAGTCCTGAACTTGTTTTTAGGTTCGCAACTATCCTTTTAAAAACATTATTTAAATAAACATACTAATACTTTAAAATAATGTGTTGACATTTGATACTAACTTTTCCATATCCAAATGTAGCCATAATAAAAATTATTTTAATCACATTTACACTTCTATAAATTCTCTTAATCACATTGACACTTTTTCCCCATTATTTAGATGAGTATACCCTTATTTCACAAATCTCAATGAATACATTCTAAAATAATGTCTGTTTAATGCTCCCAATTTCTGAAATAAGATAATTTTGACTACAGTTTAAAAAAGAGTAAAATCTCTAAATGTGTGATGTAGTTAAAGCAAATGTTAGGAGAGTGGTTTGGGTACATCGTATTATTGTACTAATCTTTCTTCCCTTTAATTAAGAAGTGAAAAGGTGAGGTTGAGGTAGGATTAGGGGGTGACACTGAGAGATGGAGGCCTTAAGCTTTCTTTAAGGCATTCCCAGCTGAAATACAAAAATAAGTATTATTGTACTAATCTTTCTTCCCTTTAATTAAGAAGTGAAAAGGTGAGGTTGAGGTAGGATTAGGGGGTAACACTGAGAGATGGAGGCCTTAAGCTTTCTTTAAGGCATTCCCAGCTGAAATACAAAAATAATGAGTTTCTCGATCCTCCACTCTAAGAACCACCTACCACCGTCTTCTTGAAAAGCCCGTAGCCCTGTAAAAACAGAGTGCCGCCTCCAGGTTCACACTCTTCCTTCTGGAGCCCCATAATTACCGCAGAACAGAGTCTCTGAAGAAGGCAAACAGTCACAACTCATGGGCCTTTATCACCCAGCTCTGCATCCTCAGCCTCCTGCCTCTCCTGCCTCCTTGCTCACTTGTGTTGGTTCCTGGGCACAAGCAGCCAGTTTTGATGCCGCACACCAAGGCAGGGCTGCTGCACCAGAGCCACACTTGCACCTTTCCTGCTCGGCCCATCCCAGGGCCTTTGTTGCAAACTCCTCAACCTTATTATCTCCTTTTACCCTGAGTGTGGAGTTCAACCCTGATTCTTCTTAGCATTTGGTAAGAAGCACCTGAGGAGCACATGAGCATGTGTATTCCAGGTCCCATGTCTGGTCCTCATTTGCTGGGGTTGGGATGGGGTGGGCTCTGGAATCTGGCTTTTAAGTAGCCAAGATGGTCCTCAGAGGACTTCTCTATTCCCTCCCTCACCCACTCAATGGATCAGAGCACCCACCCTTAGACCCTCACAGCACCATATGCCTCTCTCTCTGTCCAAAAGGTCATCCCACATGGTGATTTTACATTTAGTTCTGTGGACATTTGGTTCATGCTTCTCCTACACGTGTATAAGCTCCACGAAGGCAGGTCCATGTCTGGCTTCATTTGCCATTGAATTTCAAGCACTTAGCACTACGCTCATCATGATAAAGGTTGTTGAATGAATAAATAAATGAAACATTAAATCTCACCTCTCTCTCCCAGAAGATTCTGTTACTTACCTCCTTCCTCCAAAGTCCCTTCAATTTTAGAATCACTCTAATTTTGTACAAGGAATGGGGAGAAAAAAAGGTATCTAATAGCAAAACAATACTTAAATTAACTCTAATTAGAAATTTTACTTATACTTTTACTAGAAATATATATTTACAGATATATACTATTAATAATGGCTCACCTTTATTGAGACCTTGTTATATGTCAGACAATGTTTAGTGCTTTACACAGGCATTTAATCTTCACAGCAATACTATAAGTACCATTATTATACCCTTTTTCTAGAGAAGGCAATTAAGGCTGAGAAAAGTTAAGCCAGTGTTCAGGATAGACAACCTGGCCCTAGGGTCCACTCCTTAACCACTGGGATATACTGCCTTTCATGAATGGCTCTGCAATTTATGCTAAAACACATGGATTAAAAAAACCAAACAACAAGATGGTATAATGCTAGTTAATGAGGTTTCTGGGTCATACCAAACAATAAGATGGTATAATGCTAGTTACTGGGATTTCTGAGTCATAGGGAAAGACAGCTCCAATATTGAGGGGGGTCCTTTAGTTATTCATTTGTTCATTTATTATCCTATCAGTCCAATCATGTATTAATGCAACAAATATTTATTGAGCACTCAGTCTAGGCAAGGCATCGTGTTGGTACAGCATGATAGATAAAGCACATGGTCTATCTGTCAGAATGATGGAGTCACTAATATAACAGAGTATCTTGTGATAAGAATTTTTCTACACTACTACTGCTGCTACTACTAATAGTACTTCTACAGCATTCAGCTTGCACCAAATGTTATTTTAAATGCTTTATACGGATTAGCCTTTTTAGTCCTCCAACAACCCTCTGAAATAAATACTATTATTATCCCCAATTCACAGATGAGAAAACTGAGGCACAGAGAGGTAAAGCAAGTGGTAGAGCCAGGATATCACCCAGGCAATCTGGCTACACAGTCCAAAATGTTCAGTTTTGAGAAATGTACTACATCCTTACCTTGAAAGCATAAAAGTTATCGATGAGAGTTATGAATCTTCGTGCTTGAGTCCTCTTTGCCAGCGTAAATTGTGGAATGTTTCGTATAAATATTGTATCAAAATTCTTTGATAATTCCAAATAGTCACTGGCTCCAAGTGGCTATAATTAAAATGAAATAAAGAATATTAAAATAAACCAATTCTGGTCAGTTTTGAATTAGTTTAATTTGAAAACCTGCCATGGTGTGATCTAGGTGGTAGCTTTAGGGCAACTTGACCAAATGGGGCAGTGTTTTCTGAGCAGGTGAGTGACGCAGACAGCATACACTGTGTTGCCTTAAGAGTGATGTGAAACGGGGCAAGAAAGAACACAAGAGAGTGGTGGGGAGTGACAGAATATCTTTAGCCACAGCCTCAGTGGGTACCTCTCAGGCCCCTGTCCTAAATCTGATCTTCCATATTTTTATTTATATAACTTTAAACATGTCCTTATAAATCCTTCCCATGACTCAACTGCAAACTGTCACTATTGTTCAGTGGAGCTATTTTATTATGGCATGCTGAATATTATGTTACGATTTTGAAATAAAGACCATGCTTCCATATAAAAACCATCAGAAATTAGTTTTAGATTAATTTGAGGTATAATTATTCGAGTGCAACATTGCTAACTTCTGTAGGAAATACATGAGGGCTTGAATGAGCAGAGTAGACAGAGACTTGAAGAATAACTTGGAGCAGCATGCTCCTCTTGATACCAGGAGGGTGCAGGACTAAGGTCCACAAAATTATTCACAAAAGTGCCACCTACAGAGGTATAAAGTGCTTGTTCCTGGGCCGACCCTGTGGCTCACTTGGGAGAATGCAGCGGCACTGGGAGCGCCGAGGCCGCGGGTTCGGATCCTATATAGGGATGGCCAGTGCGCCAGTGCTTGTTCCTGGGCCGACCCTGTGGCTCACTTGGGAGAATGCAGCGGCACTGGGAGCGCCGAGGCCGTGGGTTCGGATCCTATATAGGGATGGCCAGTGCGCTCACTGGCGGAGTGCGGTGCGGATGACACCAAGCCAAGGATTCCAATCCCCTTACCGGTCACACAAAAAAATAAAAATAAATTAATTAAATTAAAATAAATGAAAAATAAAACAAAAATAAATAAATAAATAAAGTGCTTGTTCCTGAAACAGGAATTTAACTCATGAACATTATGGAAACTATCTGCAAACACATTCTCTGAGGTTAAGAGCATTCCCAGGAAATGTTACTTCTCCTCATTTGAAGTTGTGTGTGGCTGACTGTACTCTGGGAGCAGCAAAGGTCGGAAGAGTGTTTCTGTACCTGGCAGAGTGGGGAGAAGACCAGAGACTGAGTGGCCCAGGAGCTACTCTGAGATCCCACTGAAAGCTCCTGGATCAACATGACCAACTCCTAGGACATACACAGCTCCACCTCCTCAATTTTGGACAGAATTCATCAGTACTCCTCCCTGTCCAGAAGTGTCTCTCTCATTTGGGGGGTCCTTTGCATGAAAACTACTTCTTCCAGAAATGTTGATATGGCCATGTTCCTGGGAGAATTAGGGAACTGTGAGGAGGAAAGTCATTCTCACCTTAGTGTCCACTCATTTAAGCAGACCACTACCCTAACAACCAGCTGAAATCAGCTATCCTCAGGAAAGAGGCATTCTCTTGCAGCTGTGGAGAGGTGCAACCTGAGTTCTGAAGAAGTGGTTCCCTCAGAAAGAGCAGTTCTAAGGAGGATGCAGCAATGATGGGAACTTGGCAAAGAGGCACAAAACCAGAGAGAAAGAGCACAAAGAATGGCCAGACTCCTTTGGAAATGTGCTTAGAGTATCCCTTCCTTCCATCTCCTTTCACCAACCAGATAACAAATGGGGGCCAGAAGGAAGTGACCCCTGCCTTTCCTGCTCTCCTTCCCTGGCTATCTCCAGACCCAGTGCCTACCTTAACTGAGACGAGCCACTCACCTCACTCATGGAGGGGTTCCAGTGTGTGAGGGTCTTGGAGTTCAACCCTTTCTTCCAAGGGAACCCTCTGTCACATCTGATATGGATGAGGATCACATGTTAACAGAGAAGCTAGGATCAAAGGCTCTAGGCCACCTGGTTTGTTTGAATCCTCAGTCTGTTTTGGCAGGTTAAATAATCTTTCTGTTCTTTAGTTTTCCCATCTGTAAAATGGTAGTTTGATTCCTATCTCACAGAATTAAAAAACTAATACACATAAAGCATGTAGTGCCGTGCCTGGGGCATACATTAGCATTCAAACCATTTTGGCTACTTTCATTTTTATTATTTTGAGCTCAAATAATCTGACTCAGTACAAATGAGTTGAGGATGTAAAGAAATGTCTTCTCGATAAGAATCAGTTCATTTTGCTCCACCACCAACTGCATCCAAAACCCTAAATGAGCCTTTGAGCATTTGCCTGTCCTCAAAGTCACAGCAGGGACCAGATGAAGCTATGGAATCACCATGTAATGAAAACAATTCCCCAAAGGGAGAGGGGAAGGCAAAACAGTGTCTTTTTGTAAAAGCATAACTCACATAAATAAGACTCTCATGCTCTGAGAATATACCACTTTTTTGAGATCAGTTAGAATTTAGTGTTTCATCATTTGTAAACCAGAAAGTATATGGAAAAAAATGTAAAATCTCATATTAGATAAGTAGTTGCCTATAATTAAGCTCACTATTTACGCACGGATGTGATTTCTATCAGTATAACTACGTGCCCAAGGAAAATCATTATCAGAAGTGCACTGAAGTGCCTAGGGCAACTGAAAAATCAGAATATTGCCCACTCAGCTATTTTACAAATTATATACCTTTGTCAGGAGGTTCTGCATTTGACATTATATTAGCAAATATCCCTTTCCCTCATATCCCTAAAACAATTATGCACTTGTTCATGTAAAGAAACAAAGCTTAAGTTACAGTATCTATCACCTTTAAAAACAATAGTCACTGGGAAAATGTGGAATTACGGTTTAATACATATAGTTTGGGATGATAAAAAAAGTTCTAGAGATAGTGGTGATAGCTGCGCAACAATGTGGATATAGTTAATGCCACTGAACTGTACACTTAACAATGGTTAAAATGGTAAATTTTATGTTATGTATTATTTTACCACAATAAAAAAATAGTCATTAAAACAAGGAGAGGTATTGGTCACCAAAGAAATTCCAATTTAGGCCACAGGGAGACAGCAATATTACTTTCTTCTTCAAAAACATAAGAAAGAAGAATGAAATACATTAATCAAAAAAGGAAGTCTTTTCCCAAAAGAAATCAGCTCCAATAAGATTAAGATTAATTTAAAACATAAAGTTTTTTTAAGTAAGTATTTAAAGAGTATGTCTTCTTATACTGGCTGTGATGTTGAAGTGTCCAAGAAGTTACACTTAAACCTTCAGGCCTGAATTGGTGAGATTTGGGGATTCTTATTGATTAGAAACACTATCTTTTACTAATTGAAAAAGTTATATGGTCATGGGCAAAAATATGGTAGAGGCTTTTAAATGGTTGGCTCTGTCACTTTCAGGAATGTGACACTGAGCAAGTCTCTCTGAACTCTAGTTTCCTCATCTGTAAAGGGGGATCATAATAGGACTTATAGGTTAATTCTGAGGATTCAATGAGAACTGCATGTAAAATCTTACAGCAATGGCTGTCACATCATAAGTACTCAATAAAAGTTAGTTAATTTACAGAGTTCTTGTGAATAAATGTTAGTTAATTTACAGAGTTCTTGTGAGAAGTAAATGAAATGATATATGCATAGTAGATTACCTCAATAAAAGTTAGTTAATTTACAGAGTTCTTGTGAGAAGTAAATGAAATGATATATGCATAGTAGATTACTTGACATACAACACTTAATAAATAGTAAGCATTATTTTATTAACTGTTAGATAAGCTTTTCCTCAGATCATAAGGCCATGCAGCCTAAATAAGTGAATGGTTGAGCTGACTCCAGTCCACCTTTGACTTTCTACTCAAGAGGTAAAAGAAGTGCTCCCTCTGGTCCTTCCTACTGTCTCTAGTCCACCGAGATATCTGCCCTGGCATGCGAGCTTTCCATGAAGTCATATGTAGATAACAAAAATAGCTTCTGCCTCAGATCCTTTCCCTACTGTGTCTTTGGTAGCACCATTAACACCTCATATGGGGAAAAAGCCCCAGCCCACATAATGAACAGCCCCTAATCCAGTACATGGCACAGAAAGTGCTTAATATTATGGAATGAATTAGTGAGTGAATGTATGAATAAAATACAACTCAGCCTGAGCAGCAGGCCAATCCCTTCTTTTATACCTGTTTATGTCCAAAATAATTGAAACACAAAAAAATCACACTCTTTCCTAGTTGGCCCAAATTTCACCTTCCTAAGGAAGCCTTTGTTTTATATCCTAATATGTACATAACAAAAAGTCTAGAAAGATATAGACTAAAAGTTAACAATGGTTATCGTTGGGTGGTGAAATAAAAGATGAGTTTTGTTTCTTTGCTATAAATTTTTTATTTTTCCCCCCAGTGAATTTTTGTTCCTTTCAGAGCAAAAACAATAATGCTTTTTTAATTTTTAAGTAGAGGTTAAAATGGTTATAATGCTACCCTAAATAAACCTAGGTTAAACTTCATATTCTTCATTTCTTTTTTCACTTATTTATTAACTTCTCCATGATGCATTTTGGGTGGTTTTCTCTGACTTATATTCCAGTCCATTATGTTTTTCCTCAGCTGTGTTTTATCTGCTCTTAAACTTATCCACTGGTTCCTTAATTTTGGTTTTTGCACTTTACGGTTCTTGAATGTCTACTGATTCTTTTTCGAATTTGAAATGTCTCTTTTTATGGTCTCTAGATCCCTTCCAAAGTTTCCAAGTCTAGTTGGCTTTTCATAGCTCTAATATCTAGAGTTCCTAATTTTATTGTCTGTTATTTTGGCTTGTTCTCATTCACAGTGATTTTTCTCTTCATATGTTTTGTTATCTTTGTATACACTGGATCTTTGGGGGGAAAAAATACTTGTAGAAAAATTCAAGTTCAAGGCTTGACATTTTCTGAATACTCAGCTCATATAAAGTTTGGCTAAACTTGGCTTGTTCTCATTCACAGTGATTTTTCTCTTCATATGT